CAGGCTTAAGATAATCATCTTTTAGGAGAATTTGCTTCTGGGTTTTATTTTGTTTTAAATTGTATTCCTTGACCTATTTTAAACTAGACCTCTTTTTTATTTGTTTATACACTGCCTTGCACTAGAAAGCATATTAGGTGGCTAAAAGTCTTTACTCTTGCAACACAAGGAGCAGTGCTATGTTAAGCCATATTGGGGCCTGGGGTAAAAGGAAAAATCAGTAATACTGATCCTGTCTTTATTTAAAATTTTAATTCATAATGGATTTTCTGCATTAATTTTGATTTTTAAAGTATTACACGAAAATATAATTTATGTGATTACTGAATTTTTTGGCACCCCTTAAATTTCGTGTTCAAGGAGAGTGCCTCACAGAACTCACCGGAATCTTGCTAAGGAACTGAGGAATCAAGGAGCCAGTTTTTAAGAAATAAAAAATAAATAAAAAGGAATAAGTAAAAGAAAGAGCTGATTCTTTAAAATAATAAGTAAAATAGACAAATCTTTGGAAAATGCAATTAAAAAATAAAGAAAATAAATGCCACACGAAGTGGCAATACACTTGAAAATTCCAAGAAAATGGGTGATTTCCTAGGAAATGTAAGTTATAAAAATTGAACAGGGGTAAGGGAAAAAACTGACATGACCAAACATGAACTAAACTGGAAGTCTGCTTTTTAAAAAGTCACCATGCCCAGATGGTTTTACAGTTGAAGTTTTACCTAATAGTCAAAAGAACACCTAAATTCTGTGAGTCTAATAATTACAGACTGCAGAGAATTCATTTATTTTTAAGGAGTCAGCATAGTCTGCACACGAAACCCCGAACTAACAAAAAGAAAATTATAAACCAAAATCACTAATGAATTCAGATGCAAAAATTGTAATTAAAATATATCTTAGAAAATTGAATCCAGCAGTGTGCTAAAAGAATAATAAGCTATCATTATGACCAAATAAGATTAATTTCATAAATCCAAGGATGGACCATCATTAACAGCTCTAACATAATTTATATGTTAAATTAAATGTTACAAATTGTATGATTATATGAATAATTAATAAGAAGTCACTTGTTAAAATTCAGCAGCAAAACTCTCAGTGAAATACAAAGAGAAAAAAAAATAGCTAAACATGAAAAAGACTATTTGCCAAAATCAAAAGCCAACATCATACTGAATGGTAAGATATTATAGTTATTCTTTTGAAACCAGGAACTATAGAGGGATCCTGGCTAGTAGTATTTTCATAACTCCAAACACTAGGAAGTTTCTAACTCATACAACAAGAAAACTAAATATGTGGCTTAAATATCAAAAATGAGGAAACTAAAAAATATTTATTGAAGGTTATATGGTTGCGTACCTAACAGAGCTGACATTACACTAACATTGTTTGAGTTATAAGAAATTAGGTAAGATGGTTCTATATAACATAAATATATAAAACCACTTTTTTCTATACATGAGAAACTAATTAGAAATGAAAATGGCAAAAACTTGATCAAATTATACTTAGTTATAAATATAATTAAAAAGGTATGTAATCTACATAAAGAAATTATAAAACTTTATCAAAAGTTTAAAAGGAAGACTCAAGAAAAGAAATTTATTGGAAACCTTCAAATTCAAAAAATTAAATCCCTCCCACATTATAAATGTAATGCAGTGACAATGTGAAGTCCCAATGGAATTATTCTCGAACTTTACAAAATAATTTTTAAGTTCTGTTGGAAGAATACATACATTTCAAAAAAGAAAAATAGTAAGAGGGTCCTTTCCAAATTATGTATTAAAGCTTAATATAAAATGGTATGATATTGATACAAGAATGAACAAGTTAGTTGGTGGAAAAAAGAATGCAAAAATTTATTTCATATATTATATACGTACATATGTATACATATATAAATCTTGGAAATACATATATATATATATA